CAGCATCAATACTATAATTTTTAATCGCTCAGTATAAATGTAACATAACACATGTTGTATATAACAGTTTCATTTTCGAATATCAAATTATAATATTGATGTAATTTACTAATTTGTGTTCTGTGAAACTTTATAAATTTTCAAAAATAGTAATACGTCCTTTTTTTCTTACCACAAAAGAGAGACGTATTATTATTTCGTCTCAAATGGTTTTATTGAAATCAATAGCTAATTCTAAAAAATATATGAATTAATAGTGAAACTGGATTAAAATAGATGTACGTTTTATCAGTCAGGTCATTAGAGGTATGACTTTGATCGAATATTTCGTAAAGATATTAGTTATAGGGTGAATGGAACAGCTTGAAGTTATGTTAGATAAGTGAGGGTGAAAAAGTGAAAGAGGTATATGGACTCCACTGCGCCGTGGAAAAAACTTGACCGTCGTGGATAAACCGGGGTAACGAATGAGCAACGTCACGCAAGCCGCGCACTATACCTGAAGATTCTTCGTATTACCGCAATGCCTTACGATTAACTTATCGCTAGATCACGTCCGTACACATCTGAGTTCATTTCTCGGAAAAAGGTTCGCGAAATGCTTTTTAACTTCTCGATCTAACAAACACGACTTTCCTCAATTCTTTTGCCAGCATGTTGCGCCACATATTAACCGGCACACTTGATTTAAAGTCTTCTAAATCTTTTCCAATCTTTTCCAATACTTTTTTGTAATATATATTATATATTAATTACAATTTATTTAAGACTACAATTAAATAACGATAATAAATTTAATTGAAATATTATTTTGATCTCTTACCGAGACATGCTTTATTATTAGTCTTGAATATGTGATGATATATTATTTGCGTATTTATATTTTGGAAATTAAATGTAAAACACTTATTAATTGACGAATCCAAAAATTTGTCAAGGGCGGGTGTGCGCAAGTGAAATTTTTTTTGAAGTAAAATATAAAAAGATAAAATATTAAATTATTACTTAAATTATTACATTGAAAAAATATTATATTATTTAAATGTATAATTTATAAAATGTTTTATTTATATATATATATATAAAATTACATTAACAAGAAAAAACTAACGTAATGATATATTTTTTATATCTAAGTGTTTCTGAAATTGAAAAATATTTTTGGAATATCAAAATTGAGATTAAGCATTTCAGAAATATTAAAATATATATAACGTTTTGCTATAAATATTTTCAAAAAAGGAGATTTCAAAAAGCGGATTATAGCTACGTTTACACCGTGCGCTTAGTCCGCGACCTGTACGATAAGTGTCTTTGTTTAACCTACAAGATAAACAAGGACATCTATTGTATAGGCCGCGGCCTAAATGCACGGTGTAAACGTAGCCAATGACTCCCACCCATGGATCCGCCAGCGACTAGTTTTTTGCAAACTAAATGCAAAAAAATAGAAAAATATAACACGGTTAGCTTTTTTTACGTAATGTCTATAAATTATGGGACGCAAGTTCGCCGAGTGTATAGGAGATCGTGTTATTGTTTTAGAGATTTGCGAGATTTTTACTGCTGCGCCAGAAAATCGCTGGTTTCTGATCACGTGCCCAGTAATGGGTCCCATTAGGGCTAGCAGATGAAAGTAGGACAGCAAGTACTTTCCGCTCACGAGGACAATTGCCCGCGTATAGCGTATAGCTCCGCCGACTCAATTGCAGGACTTGTGATCGTTTAAGGGGAGGGCAAAGCATCTGTCCGGCATTCTTAGATGGAGATCGTTATCAGTAGTAGAGCCTTGTAAAAGCACTGCTTACTAAAAGTGTTAAAAGATTTCGCACGTTTTCAGTGATCTCAACCGTTTCTGTACTCACGTGTTCGTTTTTACTCGTTTTGATCGCATGAATCGTATAATTATAGAAACAATGGTTGCTTTCCTTTTAGAGGACACAGTCGACACGAGTGTCGTCTATTTTTGTTATTCATTGAATGCTAAAAGATGGAACGACGTTTGTGTTGACTGTCTTCTAAAAAGAAAGCAGCCTTATACTATCTATTATCTTGTTACACTAGTCATGAAAAATAAACAAAATCCATTTGTCGCGAATTGAACTTCAGAGATGTGTAAAAATAAATCTTCCTCTTCACTTTGTCTCAAGTAAGCTTCGTTTGAACGGAGTTATTATTCTTAGCTCGGCATTAATCATTTCACGATTATTAGGCCCAGTTCCATCAATGTCCCATCAAAGAATAACACAAAAACGTAAAGCAATAATAGACGTAAACAGTAAGCGAATCGGCCAATCACAGCAAAGAACAATGCAATAGCTTTACGTTCTTTATTGCGATTGGCCAATTCACTTACTGTCTTACGTTGTTCTCCGTATTTTTGGCTTAACTTTAATCTCGATTCAATTTACTCTTTATCTTTTTTAATTGTGAGAATTAAAAAAAGATAAACAGTAAGTTAAACAAAGATTAAAATTAATCTTACATTGACGGAACCGAACCTTAACGATTAAAAAGGTGAGAACATATACGCGCGCAGAACTTACGTGATCATACGCGAAAATAATGCGGAAAATGCAAGCATAATCTCTATCCGCTATGTGGCGGACGGCGGCGATTGCTATCATACCCGGGAAGAGTGCACCGAGAGTATGTACTAGGGATGTTCGATCTAGGCAAAAGAATCGATTTTTTTAATCGACCTGAATCGCAACTGCGAGTATCGATTCACCAAAAGATTGAATGTCAAAAAATCGATTCGGTAAAGATCGATCTAAAAATCTAGACTAATTGCAAATTGCATATTATAGCTCTTTTCGTAAAAAAAAAAAAAACAAAACGATTCCAATACATATGGCCGGTCACAGAAAGGTTGCAACATTTTTTTTCGATGTCTTTCGAAACTCAGCCTTGCTCGTAGACTGATTGAATGTAAATGAGTGGATCTATAATTAAGAACTAATCGCTCAGTCAGCAAACTGCATTTCGAAACTCATGGAAAAAAAGTGTTACAATCTTTCAGTGACCAGCTGTACACAGAAAATCGATCTCGGGTCTTAAGAATCGATTCGTCGATTTAATCGGAACTTAAGAATCGATCTAAAAAATAGAGAATCGAAGGTAAAAGAATCGATTTTTTAAAAAATCGGTCTTGAATCGAACATCCCTAGTATGTACATCCGTACGATCTGGCTGTGGCACACGTCCGCAGACAACTGTTCAGATCGCAATTGGCCGTCTGCG